CTTAAATGCCATGGGAATATATTTTTAATAAGTTTATTATGTTTTATTACTTCGTTGTTCTCCATGCATTTTTTAAAAATAAAAACCAAATTAACAATTTAGTGAAAGATTTTTAGGACCCCCAAGATACCTCTCGCGGACCCCAGTTTGAGAACCTCTGCTATAGAGGGATAACGGTCTTTGTCGCCAATTATCTAAGTTTTAAAACAAAACTCGATAACGTTCGAGGTTGCTTGGGTTTATTTTGGAGATGAGTTTCAGGATGCCTGGAGAGGCGCCGCCGAGAATTTTCATGGCGACATTCCTGTCTGATATTTCTCAATAACAATAAATAATAATAATAATCACTAGAAGTAGCCTTCCAACAAACCGATCAGTAAATACATGTTTTGTGTTTCTAACTGAACAGATATTAGACTTGAAACGTCCTCCTCATTGATGCATTCAAATGCAGCAAGTAAATTTTTATTATGACCGGTTCCTGTGCTGGCACACATCCACACTGATAATGTGAGACACCTGGAGACAGTCTGGGTACAAAATGTTACTTACATGGCTTGAGAATGCCTTTTGTGCGATATATGTGTTCGTATCTAGGTCAAAGTGTTTGTTCATTTGTCAGCTTTTACTGCTTGGGTGAGTGGATGGATCTGGATAAGAACATTTCTGATCTCAGGTTATGTTTCTGAGAACCCACTCTGCGTGCAAGTTTGTTGTTCAATGTCAGAATAAACTGGATAAGATTTCACTCATTCAGGCTAATCAAGCTCCAGATAACCTCTGAACATTGACTAAAAATAACATTTTGGTGATTTAAAAGGGCATTTTCCTGTGAAACTGCAGTGTGGACGCTTAATGCTGAAAGCTGCTAAAATCAAGCTGAAAAAGTTGCATAGCAAAACTTTTAATGTGAGTTCAATTTGACCAGCTGACTTGTTGAACATAGGACAACAAATGTGAAAAAACAGTAGAAAGATAGTAAAAAAGGTCACACATTTGAAAAGATCAAAATAAAGTAGTTCAAATTACAAAAAAAGCTAAAGGTGGAGAAAATCAGACAAGGGAATAAGTGAAATGTTTTCAAATGAGCAAAAACTAGATAGTAAGTACAAAAAAACTTGCAAATTGTTTTGAAATAGCTAAAAAACAGCTGATACTAGCCTAAAATAGCTTTTTAAAGTAGCTGTAAATGTTGGAATTATCACAAACAGAAAAAGCACACTTGTTGATTTAAGCAGTAAGAAGCTGAAATGATCACCAAAAGGTGAATTTAGCAGAAAAAGCCCAAATTAGCTGAAATTTGATAAAAAGTAGCTAAAAACACAAAACAGCTGAAATTAGCAGAAAGTAGCTAAAAGAAGCATTAAATGTTTAAATTAACAGAAGAGTCTGAAATGTTTAAATTAGCAGAAGAATAGAAGAAAGGGTCAGAATGACAGCCGAAAAAAGCTAAAATCAATAAAACAGAAGCCGATGGAATCTGGAACGAACACAAACATGGTAAATAAAGCAGAACCAGAACAAAAGACAAAGTGCAGTAAATATTTCTGAACATTTTAGAAGATTTTAAAGGGGCTATATTATGTACTTTCCAAGCCTATATTTAAATTTATACTAAAATAAAGTAATTTTTCAGCTATGAAAGAGCTGTATATTTGTAAAAATCCCCAAAACAATTTACTTCTCATCTCGACAGTTTCTAAACGCCTTGAAATAGGTCTCTGTCTCTTTAAGAAAATCCAACCACTTTGGTCACGCCCATTTCAGCACGTAGCCTGCCGGAGTCGCAGAGCAGGAGGGAGGGCCAATCTGCCATGAGGAAGTTCTGCTTAAAGAGTAACTTACCCCAAAATTAACTTTTTTTAGCTGATAAACTGTCTAGAATGTGTCTAAAATGTTATAT